AGAGGCAGTCTATTTTATTTTTCGTGTATAAGTAAGGTTTCGAGACTATCTGATTATTTTATGACAAACACCGAGAACGACCCTCTGAAAAACAGCCTACAACGAAATGTAGTAGCAAGGTTATCAGTTACTCGGTAAACGAGATCTGATCACAATACCATTTTCTAATAACTACAGGTTTATTACTATTTTCCAACGGCTGGATTAATCTAATGTAAAAAGGATTACGAGCATTTATGATATTAGTACCAGAGAGAGGTCAAGTATGAGTAAAAACGAAAAGACAAAGATAAATAAAAACCTAAAAGAATGGCTAACTAAAAGTGATCTAGATGAGATTCATTTTTTGTAGCAAATTGTATTTATATGCATGAAGAGAATAATAATGATAGTATGAGACCAAAATTGATACTTTAAGCAAAGTAAGAAGAGGCCTTACTTGCTTTCTGGAGTATTACGTTCATATGTCTGTAGCAAGCTATTTATTCCTATGCCTAGTTGGAGCAGACTATCAGCCACCGTCCTACGCTGGCGTGTAGATGCATCTGCAGCCTGAGTGGCCTCCTTTACTGCTTGATAATAGGCTGCTAGGTTACACTTTTCCTCTCTAAAGAAGGCGTCCTCGTCACGTTGGCTGTTTAGCACCAAACTTTCGTCTGCGGTCTGGGTAACGGTTTTGATAAGTCCAGCGGCCTAAAGGAGAAAATTGAAGTAGGATTGTGCGGCAGTATAAATAAAACACTTTAGATAGAGGAAGTAAGAGGTGAGAAAATAATAATAATAATAGATATTAATACGACAATTAATTTATATTTGTAAATATATATAATTAATTAATAATAAATACAGCTATTATAAACTATAGATAGTAAGGAATACCGTCTTATTTAAGAATATATAGAAGAAATGCCACTCCTGATAGCTGTACTAGATAGACGCACTGAATTTCATAAATCTTAATGGACTAGCTTAATATTGGATTATCAAACATATCCTAGGCTTATGAGGTGAATAAGCTTTTATTTTGATAAATAACGTAGAATAATTTTATAAACGAATAGGAAAGATCATCTATCGCAGAACTAGCTGATAGCACAGTTTTCCAAAGAAGCATTGAATACAGGTGGAGCAAGGTTTTTGTTTCAAGAAAGAAATGAATTCAAAATAATTGATGGTCATAAGATTCATCTAGTATATATTTTGGTTAAAACTCAGCAAATTAATTTTGATTACGTAACTCAATAAGTAGACATTCTAGTGCGATTAATTCATCATTTAAACAGGGGGAAATTACGAAAAAAACATCAGCCTTACTCTTGCTAATATCATTAAACTAAAAATAATATATTATTGTGAATTTTATAAAATGCACGGAAATAAACATAATTAATACTTGTTCTTTTTTGTTTTTATTCCGAACTCCAAGATCCTCTTTATACTCAAGAAAAACATGAAACCCATAATCGTTGTGCAGAATAGGATGAGAGGCTATTCGCTGAAGAAACACCTCATGCATTG